GGGGGGGGGAGACTAGCCTGTCCTCTCTCTCTCTCTCTCTCTCTCTATATATATATATATATATCTATATCTATGTGTGTGTTAGATACGTATGCGATGTGGCATAGCGTGGCGTGGATAGTAGAAGCGCGAGAGGCGCCCGTATAAATGATCTTCATGCATATTTATGCGCTTTTCGCTCAAAACCGCCGGTGTCCGCTAACAGGGTGACGCAAACACGCTCACCCCTCGCCTCGAAAGCGGATACCCGAAAAGCGCTTTGAAAATTTCCAGTTGAGCGAGCCGAGCCGCACGCTCGCGCCACGTCGGCTACATATTCTTTTTTTTCTCTCCCTCACCCCCCGTATACCCTTTCCCCCGCTGTCGACTGTCCCGCGGTCCAGAGTGCTCCCGACCACCCATTTTCGATAGCGCATACATATACATATATACAGACCAATATACACAGGACACGTACATATACACACCTGCCACACGGTGTGTCACTGTGCGCAGATTTTTTTTTATCCGTGCGATCGCTTTTTTCTCTTTTTTTTTTTTTTTTTTTTTTTGTTCAGGGTATCGCAAAAGCGGGATCAAACGGATGATGGTGACAAAAAGAGAAAAAACCTCGCGATGGGTCTGGACCGTTTGCAGCATGGAACTCGCTCGCTCGCTCGTTGTTGCGCATGCGCGCGTGCTGGTGTGATTCGTTATATCGGGGCGCAGCGCCACTCGAACGTGACCAAAGGCCGGAATTTCGTTAATTTCTTTTCCCGCCGTGCTGCCCACAGAGGTGGCAATTAAAATCGTGTGAAAGGGCGGAAGGTATGCGTATAACGAGTATTCCGGGGTTTTACGATTCTCGTGGAGAGAGCCGCGGCGAGGAATTCGATCGTGAAGGGGAGCGTGTGGCGCGGAGGGGTGCGCACCCGCCGCGCCCGCCGCGCGGCGGTCTTCTGTGGTTTTTTGGAATTGCTGCGAGGGAGAAGGGAATGTAATGCGTCGTAAAAGGAAGCGCGGAAATTAACTGGCGCTAATTTGATTCCAGGCACCGACGTTAAAATGGGTTTTGATGCCTCGGACCGTAAGTTCTTTTTCAGATTCCACGCTACCAAGTACAATATATAGTGTTGTAATTTTGATGGAATTCTCTTTCTAATAATTTGCAGATGGATATAGCATATGATTTCATACGTATTATGCCGTAATTAACCTTTCTACCTACTGGTTTGCTGATGTGTCGCAGCTGAGATACGTTTTCGTCGATGATACACGCGTGTTGATTTTCTTTGGCGAAAATACGCGGTTTATTTGATCCATCAGAAGCATATTTTATGAGTAACGTACGTCGAGGAATCATTATCTTTATCGGTATTTTTGTTGACTTTTCTAGCTAAATGAACGAGGCTTTGTACCATCGAACAGTAGATTTCTCCTTAGTTTCTCTTGTTTTATTAGTATTAACTCCGTTACTCCGATATTTCTCTTATTTTCCACGAGAAATCACGATAATATTTGCCTCCGAGCACAGACGAGTACTATTTTCGTTTATTTAATGGTTCTATTTTCCATATCAAAATACCATATATCCAAATTAAAAATAGAAAAGAATCTACCGTGATATATTCAACGTTAAATTATACAAGAAATTCTTTTTTTATTTTTTTTTTTTTACAACAAAATTAACGATAAAAATAGAAAATCGCTTAGGACTATCAAAGGGTTAAAATCCTTAGAAGCTAATGGGAGCTTTGTATTCTTTCATCGAAATGAGAAGCAACGATACTCACCGCCATTGCTTTTTAAATCATCGGGTTGACCACGATGCAATTCCGTTTTACTCAACATCGACAATGGATGAGCCGCTGTTGTGCCCGGTGCTGTGGCAGCAGCCGGCGTTAAGCCAAGGCCAAGAAGAGCCGCGGAGGCGGAAGTTGGCACCGGAAGTCCAGCAGCTGGTCCTAGTCCCGGAAGTCCGGGTAGTCCTGGATGAGCACCTATCGCCGTGCCCGGTGGCAATTGTTGAGCATGCATTTGCTGCAGCAGTCTTGATATGTCAGGTCTCTGTTGCTAAAACACAGAAAAAATAGTTATCACTGTGGTTCAATTTTCACATATAACAACGTTATTTTATTGATTGAATTAATTAATCTTTCGTTATAAAGGAAATAATTTTGTACAAAGAGAATAGCCATCGAATACACATAGTATTATTGTCTAATTGATTTCTTTAATACTATAGGAATAGTATTGTATTAATATTGTCTGTGTTTAAATTTTGATTGCGTTTCATCTATCGTAACACTATTGGTTTATTTAAGAACAAAGGAGTTAAATATAAAAATTGAATTCTTCATACGTTTCAAATATTCGACATTCTATATATACCATTATTTGTACTTATGTAAATTCATACTTTTATGAATACAAGAAAAGAGATAGAAATTATACAGAAATGTGTGTTTCGTTTATTAGATATATTAGAACAAGCTCTTTCTCCATTCGACACATTTTTAAATATTACATTGCATTCTGTGTATTTATCACCTTCGAATCTTCCATAAAACGCATAAAACTTCGCCACCGATAATAATCACCGATAACTCGAACCACAGAAGTACGTCCCCTGTGGACGTTTCCTTAGATGACACCATCCATCGGCGTCAGGATGAAATGTCATCGCCGAGAAAATCCAAGCTGACGTTATACGCCCCGAGTAAGGGGTGAAAACGAATCCGTGTTCGAGAACCCTTGCAGACCAATGGCGATGGCCACGGTATCCCAAGAGCCACTCCATAAGACGCAACGAGAAATAGAGGGAGAGAAGGTGAATCAACGAACACAAGAGCGGACAGACCGGTGAAGAGCAAACGGGAAGACGAAAAAAGAAACTCAGCACGAAGAAGACAGAGAACAAGTTGTCGAGGGCAGGAGAAATCCAATGTTAGATCAAGAGGGGATAACAGAGGCCGGTAAACTCGTTACGTGAGCGAATCATGCTTATCGTGGATTTCACTTAGGTATTTAGGGATCGACCGAGAGGAACAAAGAAGAGTAGAAGGGGAGAGAAAGTAACACACGATTCTCGTAGAACGAGGGTCGTGGTCGCACCGACGAGGGTGGATTATGCGAAATAACCCCTCTCGGGCTACGCGCCGATTGTGTACGATAGTTATTTTCCTGGACTGTCGCTGAATGGGCCAAAAGGGACGGCGAGGGGTCGCGGCTTGGCGTGTGTGTATACAGCTTGTATGGTCTTCCCGCAGCACAGTTTACCCCCTAGGGACGTATTTGCACCGCCCTACGCACGTGTACCTACTCCACGGATGTAGCTTGCAATTTGCCTTGCGGCCACTCGACTTCCGGCGAGGGGCTTTTGACGCGCAACAACTTTTTCTATGCTGTGAAGCCCGCTCGACGAACGACCAGGAAGGGGCCACGGGGATCGCGCCGCGAGACGGTGAAACGTTTGCAAGAGAAGGAAGGCCTCGTTGACGTTCATTTTTCAGGGGTATCGATTTTTTCAAGAAACGCCCCGCTTTTTCGAGGTAGCCGTCGAGAGCTTTTATCGACGTGCACGGTAAACGGTCTGCGGCGTTTGATGTTTCGCGCGATATTTGCTGCGGAATTTCCCTTCCTTTTCTTCTTTTTTTCGAACGCTTTGTGGACATCGGTTAGTGAGCTTTGCAGTGGGAGTTTTAAACGTTTGGAAATATTAAGTCGGCGGTTAATACTAGGTCGAGGATATTTGAACGGCTTCATATTTTTGTGAACATAATTGAAAGAGTAGGACGTTTTTATATTACGTTTGCTTTATATGCAGAGTCAAATGTTGGATGTGTAAGTGAAGAGAAAGAGAGAGGATGAGGAAATGAATAACGCGATTAAAATTGCGATAAAACAGAAGTAGAATAGAACAGTAATCGCGGAAGAGAGTTCAAGTTTCTAAACAAAGAGCGACCTCGATTAATGGTGCAACTATTTTAACAATTATGGACTATTTTGATCACTCGCAGATTACGTCTTCGTGCTGGAAAAGTAGTTCTATTTTAAATATGTTTACCCCGATAGGATATTTTAGCCGTTGCTAAAGCCATGTTTTTACGGAGAGAGGCGAATGCGCGGAAGAATTTATTTTTACAAGGAACATTCGAATACTGAATAATTTTATCGAATACCGAAGATAACCTTTCGCTTCGTCTAAATTTAACTCGACCACTTGAAAGCACGTTGCTTTCGAATGACAGAAATACGCGTCCACTGGACATTATTATTATTGGGCAGACATTAAGACGCATTTTAAACGAATCTACCAAAAATATAACACCGATAACGTCGTTGGTACAGCTTAAATAATCGACTGATTTTATTAACGTTCATTTCATCGGGAGATTCGCAGCCACTGAATCACAACTTTCCACGGATGTTCACCAGTTCCAAGAATACCATTTACATAAATTACCCTTTTTTATTTCGAACGCTACGCTATATCCATAATACTACCATTACCACCACGCCGTATAATCATTTTCCACTTTATACATAACAAAACGTATCGATTACCCCTGATCAAATTTCGGACACCCCTGACCAAAATTTCCACCCCTGTATCATCCATCAAACATGCGTAAACGTCAGTTATAATATTTTCCCCATTTCACAAACCAACATCAATCGAAAAAAGAAAAGAAAAATAAAAGTAAAAATACAAAGCACGGAAACAATTGTCGAACGAGCAATAGACACGCGATATTCAAAAGGCAACAGGCTTGAGTTGTTCCGTAAATGTTCATTTTCCTGTATCCTGAGTTCGATTTTTGTATAATAAAATATTCTATTTCGCTGATTTTAGAGCTATGCAACAAGAATAACTCGGTTTCCTATCGAAGAAGAAAAAGATATACTGTTTCTCAATACGATCTCAATGTAATGACGTGGCGCGAATAATAACTGATTTCGGTTTATAGCCCGACGATTCAATAAAAAGGCATTCTAACTACCAAAGTTTCTAAATACTAACTCATCGTTATGCAACCGAAGAGTGAAGAGAGAATTTTAGATTAGAAAAATAGTCCGCTTCCAGTGTCGTCGGTTGAAGTTGATAAACATTACTACCACATTGATCTTCACCCTTTTGATAAGATTCTCGTATTGTTATTAAAAATCGTCCAAAGCGTCTCGAAGTTCCAATCCTTGTGCTTGTGACCGACGGTTTGACCTGATGGGGTGGGGAAAGAACCGATGTCGAAGCGGCGTTGTTCGCAACAAACACGTACATGTATAGCGAAAATCGGCGAGCATAGGCCACGTTGAGCGTGCACGAGCCCCCGACGGTATTCAATTCGTATTCGAAGCAACGCGAGAGAATCGACAGGGGGGAACAGGGGGCGTCGTCGTTCGTGCAACGCGGCAAACGAAACGTAATAGTCCCAAACGAGGTTTAACGCGGCGTGAATAATACGCGGAAAGGGAAGCTACAGTACGAGGAGGGTTGGCTGGCCTGATGCCTGAGGGGAGGATCGGTCCGGCACCATCGCGCAGTGCCGGAGGTGCGACTCGTCCATACCTGTACGTTTAAATACGTGTCAGGGAATATCCTGTATGCGTCTGTACAAATGCATCCCCCTTGGCTGGCTGGTTGGCTAGCTATCGTATCTGTCTGTGCGTGCAGGAAAGCGTGCGATACGCGCGTTCAAAGGTGCAAGAAGAAGAGGAAATGGGGAACGAAACGAGACAGGGTGAAACAGAGAGGTGCAATGGGATACAGCGGAGACAAGGAACGGTGGAAGCGAGATAGGAGAAACGGGGCAGGGAGAATTGCGTTCCAGCGTGCAGTGTTATTAAACGAAATATTGATTCAACCCCTGTTTACCGAGTAATACATATTCATGGGGGTTGGCGCTTATGTCTATTTGCCTCTGTCGTCCCTTCAGCCTTTGGCCCCTGCCGTTCTGCCCTGTCCGTTTCTGTCTCCCTTCTGCGTTCGTCGTTGCTTTCCACTACGCTTTCCTTTTGTATATTTATATGTATATATGTGTACCTTACTCTATCTCGTTCGATTTATCTCTACCTTGTTTTCGCGTCTTTATTTAGCATGTTCCAACCCTACGACGATAGAACTGGAAACATTGGAACGTCTCCCCTTGGTAAGTACATCAGCATGCGCTAACCACATGTGCGAACGAGAGGAGTGCATGTGCACGTGTAACGTTGCCGGCTTCACCTTGTATTAGCCACTGGCCGGCGCTGAGTGCACGCGCTGATTATGCGTCCCCACATGCCGATGACGCGTATTACGCAACTGCAGATTGCGGTTTGTGTCACGACCTCGATCCGACGATTTCTAGCGGTCAGGCCTGCGCTCGTTAAATCGAGGACGCCCCAACGAGAGCATGATTCTGTCTGCGGTGATCGGGCCAGATAACGTTTGATGGCTCTTTTTTATTTTTCTGGCGGGTTGGTCGGTTTTTATGGCAGACTCGTGGTAATGACGTAGTAAATTTCAATGGCAGAAGAAATCGCACGTCGAAATCAGAAATCAAAAGCAACAGTTCTCTTTTTTCTGTAGAAAACAACTGGTATAATTAACAGCCGGCATTCGAATTTCTATGATGCTTCGTTACAAGCATTTCGACCGTCAAAATTTAATCTGACCCATTCCGGTAAAGATACTTCGATCGCCGACAAATTTGATATCAGCCAGACGAAGTTCAATTAACTTTCTTTATCTACATATATCGTTTCATTCAGTCTTACGTCAAACGCATCTCGCGATGAGACAAAACAAAAGAAAAAGAAAGGGAAACAAACAAGCATAATTTGATCAATTTTTATTGAACCGTGTAAAGTTGAATTAACTACTCCGATTAATAAACTTATTTGAATCCTATTAACGCTTTGACTGACACGTTGGTCATACATGACGGTTTCTCCTGTGATCACGGTGGTCATTGGTGACCGGAAAGGACTCTCCTTCTCTCTTAACACTTTGACTGCTACGTTGGTCATGTATGACGAACTTCTTACAATTGTAAAAATTGAATGAAAACTGAGAGTTAGGACATTTTGAATATAACCGATAAATAGAAGATACTTTGAAATAAAAAGTGCCCCATTGATCATTAAACATTTTTATTAGAACATCAATAAAAAAAAAATGAGAACAAATTTTGCATCTAATTACTGAAAATTCTCAACGCGAGAATTGATTGTAATTTCAACAAATAAATAAAAAAAAAAATATCTTGCATCTAACGGTGCACTGTGTTGAAACACTTTAAACATAAATGTGGTTCATCAATACAATCTGGACAATAGGTGGTCACCTTTTTGGTCCGATTCTTAGCAATTTTTGATCTTAACTGTTTAACATTTTTTTATAGCACTCTCTGCAAAATTAAAAGCACTCTCTGTTTAAAATGTCCTACTGGACAAATTGTAAAATGTAAATAAATAAATAATAAAAAAAAAGTACTCTTAACGAAACAGTAAATTGCGACTTTAAGATACCTACAGTTAAATTCAATAATAATTTCAATAATAGATATAACATAAGAATTAACAACCACCAAAACCCAGTTACTCAATTACTTGACACGACGAATCAGATCCGCAGACTAAAAAGACATTACTCTCTAGATTTAAACATTAGATTCAGCTAGAAGCAAACATACGATAATCATTTATTATTTACGTTATAGTACCACGTCAGAATAATTTACTTATAATTCTCAATGAGAATTGATTGTAAACTACTTCCAAATAAAAAAAAAGAAAAGACGGAAGGTACGCTTGCCCTTTTTTCTTCTGCATTTCGTGTCGCACAGTTAGAAGTGTGCACATTCTTTACTATTCTACACAAAATGAACAAATACTGCTTATTAATATCTTCTACACGTTTCAACAATATATTCTGGACGTTTTGCTTACGACGAAATAACGAATGCGAATGGTTTGTTGAAATAAACGAAATCTTGTTATAATATGTCTCTATCGACTGTTAGCAAGGCGCCAGGGTCCATTGGGAAAGGATGTTGTCCTATATCATCAATTTATTATTATTTTACTATTTGAATAATAAAAATACTCCCGTGGCGTCCTGATCGAAACATGTGATTTCGACGTGGTAGTCAAAGTGTTAACATACGTTGAAGTGGGTCCCACTTCCAGGAAAACTCCACATCTTTTCTAAAGCTTAGTTTTCTTAGTCTTTGAAACCATTCGGTATTGTTTAGCACTAAATCAATTTGAAGGGCCTCTCAGCCTTATAGTTTTCTAGGAACATGCCTTGCACAGATGCTGCAACGAGGTACAGACAGGTCAGTTTTCTGTAATTGAGTAAATACCCATAGACCCATGGCCTCGAAGCTCTTTCGTAAAGTAAAGCTGCCAGCCTGCGGATCTGGACTAACATACACATTGTACTTATACTTGCTTAAATATATTTCCTATTATAAATACATCCATCCACGCATTTTCTCTCTCCCTCTATTACGAGATAAAATCTTAACAAAATAAAATATTATTAAATGCAACTAATAAATTTCTCCCATATCGTATATTATATCGTATCTTATTGTATTCATTTATTGTATCGAAGCATATGCACTTACCTATAACACTAATAAATTAAACCTATCTATAATAAGTATAACTTATTGTAAATAAACAGCCATGTCACTGCGCCACGCCAGAAAAATTACTGAAAATTCTCAACGCGAGAATTGATTGTAATTTCAAAAAAAAAAAAAAAAAAAAAAAAAAAAAAAAATTTATTGTATCGAAGCTTATGATTGTTACAGTCTTTTCGTATGTATGGGCGCTCGTTGCATTTCGTTTTTATCTGAGTTTATTCCTTTTATGCTATTTATCTAGGTAGATCAATATCTTAATTTATTACACGTGTTATTATACAGGGTGGGCAGAATAAAGAGCGATTTTGAAAAGCGCGGCAATCGTATTGTGTCGATGGGAGAGAGTGGGGACGCTGTATCAATGGAGCGGCGGACCCCTCTTCAGCATCGCGCGTATACTGCCAAAGCGTTTTATCAAAACGATGCTTTCCGCAACCATTTTAACATTCAGACCGATGCCGTCTGATTAAAAAATGGGTCGAAACTGAAACATGGGTGGTTTGAAGAGACTTCGTCAACGACGAGAAAAACGCCTGGAAGACCAAAAACAGTGCGTACACCCGAAAACAACATGTAACAGCGTGTAAGAGTTGCGATCGGAAGAAGCCCGCGTCGTTTGGCTCGCCAGCGCACAGCGCTACATTTAGGATTTCCAATAGAACGATTAGATGAATTTTACACAATCATCATCCGTACGAAATCCAAATGGTTCAGGCTCTTAAAGGAACAGATAATGTGAACCGAAGACGGTTTCGTGAAGAATTATTAAATTTAATTAATCAAGACATTACAAATAATTCAGGGATGAGTGGCGAGGCCCGTTTCCAGACAGGAAGTGGTTCAAATTCCACTGGCAATGCCGCGGAATGTAACGAATAACTTGAGAACCCGGCTGGAAGCATGTGTATGCTTCAGCGAACGTCATATTACCAGAGTTATTTTGAAAAATTAGTTACTTTTCCATTCTAACATTTATTTTTCTTTAATACCTTTTTACGTATTTGAAGGCGGTGAAAATAACATTTCGAAAAATTGATTGTTCCTTTTTACAACTTCTTAAAAATCGCTCTTTATTCTGTCCCATCCTATACATCTTCTATGTGTCAGTCTTTCAGTCTTTGGTGTTTCGTTCCTGTTCCTTCTTTTTCTGTTCGTTCATGCGGAAAGCATCCAACTTTCTGCTTCCCTTCGCGAAGTTTGCCAGTTGTCATATATGTTTCTCGGTTTGTTGTTACTATTTCTGCCCATTGCTTGCTTCTCGGTGCGATTGGTCTGATCTCTATATACAAATACATTGTGTAGCCGCTCAGTATATGTTTCCGATTTTCTGCGTCTCTCATATCGCAATACAAATAAATCATCATTTCTTAAAAAGAATCCCTCGTACTGGGTTTTTCTGCTCGCCGTATATGATTACTAAATTTCCCTTTAGCCTGCGGTGTTTTTAACGCGCATGTAGCTGCGCACGTGCAGAAAGAGTAATTCAAGCGTGTCCGGGGCCACGAGGACCGTGCATTCGTTTAGGCGATCGGGAATTATTCAAGTCGTGCACGCGAGAACCGACACGGAACTCAATTATACGTGCCGCGGCGGTCGAATGCCAATTTCGCATTCGTCGACCCTGCTATCACCGGCATGCAGCCTATGAGTATGAGAAAAACGTTTCCCACCGGAAGTCTGTCGTACACGAGACGCGAAGAAAGGACTCGGCTTACCTACACCTCGTTCCCTTTTCAGCTTGCACGAGTACACACGGTCGCGCGGTTAGATTCGGTGGACTATTATGTAAATTGAAGCTCGCTCGACAACGACGGACGTACGCGATCTTGGGTGGCGGGAAAAAAATTCTTTTTCTTTTCTTTTTTTTTTTTAAAGTGGAAACGCGTTTGCGACTCGTCCAGGTCAGGTAATGGATACGCAAGGGTGATTCACCCGACTTAACGACCTTAAATTACCCGCTCGCCGAATAAACGGCTGGTCGCGTGTAAAATTGTCTCGCGTTTTGCCTGCTGCGGTAGGTTTTTGCGTGTGCACCCATCTTTTTTTCGTCGCCAAAATATCGCAGATCATGTTGTGGCTTCTAAGTGCAACATGCGATACTTCGCTTTGAAGATACGGAAGATATGAGAAAAGAGGAGGTGTATGGGATGGGTTGAAACGATCATTCTGTGTACATGGGTTCTGGGTAGTTTGCCGATCTTTATGCATTTATAATGTGAAAGTACCAAATTGCGCAGAATGCACATGGTATGAAAAAACGTATAAAACATGCAAGTATAGTGATTTGTATAATACTTGGTAGGTAGAACAATTTTCTAGCCAAGTTCTAGCTTTTTTTAATCATATTCTCGAGAATATGGGTTTGCATAAAGATAAAGTCTAGTTATTTATACGTATCTTACAAGAGTAACAAACGGTGTTACTCTCTGGTTATAAAAGTGTACAACAGGCTAAATTCTATACATTTTTTATGCGACTAAATTGAAGTTATTGGACGTGTGGTCCAATTGGAAAAGGCGAATCGTACGTAAAATGTACAATCTAATAAAAACATTTAATTGTGACTCGTTTGTATTTCTACATCGGCAAGCATACGAATATCATTCGTATGATTTACAAATAATAAAACGACACGTAGCAATATTGCACTTTCGCGTTTATCGCAACGGTTCGAATCAACACGACGAAGAGGATGAAGGTTAACGAAAGCTCGACTATATCTCAATGAAAAAATTTACGACACCGATAAAACTTATTTAAAGCGATCCTTTAAACGTCCACTCGATTGTATCCGAGGTACTGAAACTGACAGATCATTACTAAACCTTTTCCTCGACGGAAACGCGTAATTTCACGATGCACCTGTTGCGATATCCTGACGCGTAATGCTGATCGAACAACCGCTCTCCTCTGTTGGAAAATTAGTCAATTACGGAGCATGACGCGCACTTACCCCAATTATGGAGTTCAGCTCCGTCATCGTGACCTGTTTCGCCCTATCAACAGCGGTTGCAACTTGCTGTTGATGTTCCTGAGACAGAAAGGGCAGGATCTGTCCGATGATAGCGTTCAGTCTCTTCGATATTTCGGCCTGTAAAAGGAACAAAGGTTCTAGGTTAACGAGAAACGTTCGTCCCCGATTAATATTTATATAAAAACAACAATATATGGACGATCTTGCGCAATAATTTATCAAGTAACAACGTTAGGTGTAGAAATTAATTCGCTGTCTTTCAAAATAAATTTATCATTTATTTATCCATGTAGCTTTTGGAGCAATAATTTTTTCTTTTTTCTACTATTTTTTTTAGCATTTGAAGTAATGTTACGTATGCTGCGTGTTAGAAATGTTAAAATTGAAAATCTCAAAATAGTGGGGAAGCGTTTAAATTTCATATGGATTCGTAATTATTGAGTCAAAGTAAAAATATCAAATTAAATCGTATAAATAATGTCAATGAACTGACAAGTTACGAGTTATAATTACAAACTTCTATCTTATAATTTCATAAATTTCCGCCAGAAATTAGATGATCGGCTGAGTCGTAATTCGTGAAATTTACTTAAAAATCTCGATTCGCGATACTGCGTGTTAGAAATGTTAAGATTAAAATTGGAAATCTCAAAATAGTAGGGAAGCGTTTAAATTTCACATGGATTCGTAATTATTGACTCAAAGTAAAAATATCAAATTAAATCGTATAAATAATATCAATGAACTGACAAGTTACGAGTTGTAAGTACAAACTTCTATCTTATAATTTTATAAATTTCCGCCAGAAATTAGACTCGTTATTTGCGAAATTTACTCAAAGATCTAGATTCGCGAGATCATCAAACGCGGTGGCTGTTGTACATAAGAATTTGGTAGCACTGGTAATTTGTAACACGTGACTTGTACAGTTTCACTGATAATATTAGTTTTTCATTGAATGGTGTAAGAGCGAGCCGGTCACGGTTCGTCGCTTTTTTAACTTGGCACAGTGGGTGATCGGTCGACGCGTGAGAGCTACGCGTAGTAAAACGTGCCGGCAACAAAGTGCATAAAAGAGGAAGGAAGCTTTTATTTCGCTTTCGCGGTGAACACATGCTTTCCAGCTGCCCGGAGAGATGGAAAATATTTTTGGCCCACTCACTTTTCGCAAGCAGAGTGTTTAACCGTGGACACTTTTAACACGCGATGCGGTAAAATTAGACGTACAAAAGAACCAGATACACCGCTGTGAAATTACGTTTCAACTGTTTGGTTTCGTCGACTGTGTCTTGCTGGAGTTTTAATTGGCGAAGCGTAGATGTTTGTTACACAGATATCAGAACCCTAAACTTTTCCAGCAACGAGACTACAGATTTAGAATATTTTCTTCTAAAACATTACACTGCGTGGATATTTAATTTCACCTATTCTTAAGAAATATCGACTTGAAAGAGGAAAAAAGGAATTCTTTAAACTTTTTCTTATAATATTCCATACTGTCGTAATACCATATACCGTAATCACACTATATAATGTATATTTGTATAATTAATTTATCGACTCGATTCGTATATTAATATATCATAAGGAAAAAATTACAATAAAAATTCCTCTCAACCAAAAGTTTCCAATTTCTAACGTTCCCTCAATTTGTTTTACGCTCGATTGCATATTTACATCCGATCAAAGTTATTTACCAAAAATTAATGTGTGCATAATTCTACCGTAAAATCGTTCGACCTGTTTGTTCCGCCGGTTAATTAATATTTTGCCGCGGCAACTCGATAACATTTTGTAAAGGAAACAGGCGGAATGCAAGCAATATTCATCGAACCCGCGTATTTCTAGCATGGATGGGCTGCGTCTCTATTTTCGTCGCAAGAAGCTGGTAAGAGGCGGTGGAACCGCGGAAATAAGCGACGCAGCCAGACATAAGGAGGATGATTAACGAGACGCGTAGAAAAGCTGCGCGTCACGGCTCGG